AAAAAAAAAAAAAAAAAAAAAAAAAAAAAAATCTCTTTGATAATTAAAATTGTATAAAATTAAATTGATCTAAACTTAACTGACAAAATTAGAAAAAAAAAGAGAGAGGAAATATACTGCAAGGAGCGCCGTTGAATGTATCTGGAAACGAACATGATGGCGATAATGTAGAAATCGGTCACTGAGCTTCTACTTTCATTTTTTGTGGGGAAAGGGAGTCAGCGGCAAAGGGGACGATGGGATTAATTTCGGGGAAGAAGGAGAAATGAATATAACTGGGTTACAAAAGTTCTCAGTCCTTTAACCTAAGTTGAGGCTTTCCCCTCAGACCAAACCTGTCCACTTTTGTTATGTACTTAATTTTTCTTTACACTAATTATATTGTCTTACTTATCCTATCCTTTTTTTTATTTATTAATTTTGCTAAATATTTTATTTATTTATTTTACTTTTTTAAAATTAAAATTTTTTGGTAATGACACTTGTCATCCTATCCTTAAATTTTGCTAAGTATTTTATTTTATTTTTTTAAATTAAGATTATTTTTGTGATGACACTTCATCCTCTCTTTATTTTGCCTCTCCTATTATTATAACTAGTTAAAGCTTGGGCCCAATGTAAATAAAGCTATATTGTTTTATTATACATTGTGATATCTTACAATTCTAATCGTACTATTTTACTTGTAAGGATATTTTACTAATTTTTTAAATTATTTGTCATTAGTTATAAGTATTAAAGTGAGATATAAAAAGTAGTTTCATTTTTATATAATGACAATAATAACTAAAACATTTCATATTTGCATAGCCAATTAGCTCTGCACCAATCTAAGGAAAACCAACATATTGGACTAAAACAGCACAAAGATACTCTTAAAATAATGTGATATTGTTCAATTTCGTCTAAGGTTTCACGGTTTTCCTAAAAAAGTCTCACATCATTAAGAGTATTCAACTCCTTCCTTATTAGTAGTTTTTTTTTTCCTTTCTACTTTCTATGTCGGACTTTGTCCAGACACACCCAACAATCTCCCTCTTGAACTAAGTTCCATATGACCCATCACCATTCATGGGCTAATTTGGAGATTAGTTGTGTGTCATTCACATGATATCAGTAATTACAGACACCGAAGCTCACAGGGTATGTATGCATCTTCAAAGTTACGGTAAAGTTCATAAAGAGGACCATAGACGGGCATATGCACTAAGCCGGATCCCCACAACACACTGCACTATCTCCATACTCGTCCTGTCAAATCATTCACTCTAATACCAAATGTTGAACTAAAACGTCCCAAAGATACTCATGACATGTGTGAATATTATCTGTTTTGGGGATAAGCCCCCACAGTTTTTCCCAAAATACCTCATCTACATGGTATGCTAAACAACGACACAGTAGTTTGTGGCGAAGCTTATGAAATGGTTAACACATATTTATAACTTAGAAATTTGGAAGTTCTATAAACTCGATTCAAGTACTTTTCAATTTTCCCATTGTGGTTTAGTTTATGGCTCTTGGCGAAGCTTATGAAATGGTTAACACATATTTATAACTTAGAAATTTATAACTTACAATTACTCGCTAGTCCCCCGCCTATTCTTTATTTTATTACTATTTGGGAATCAAAGTCATTTCTTTAACTATGTTTTTTCGGATCATTTTTAAATTTTTTAACTATAATCTTGTTCTTGCTTTACTTGTGATAACTGTGTAAATTAATTTTTCTTGGGTCGAAATTCAAAATGCTATAGGAGAATAAATGATAGATGTAGGTGGTTTGAGAGAGTGATTAGTAGTAAACAGATTTGGCCTAATGCGGGTCCCGTAGCTTCCACATGTTCAGCTCATAGCCTCATACGCAGCCCTATAAGTAATATTTAGTAGTGATTTATCAAAGAGTTAAATTTGTAGTAGACGTGGGTTCTTACACGTGTAACCTTACATCATTCCTTTTATCAAGTGTTTAAAAGACCCCAACTTGGTTATATTTATCAAAAGACTATGAGGATTCTGATAGAATAAACTAAAAAATCATGGTTTTTAGTCATATTTACCAAAAGACTATGAGGACTCTAATAGAATAAACTGAAATATTATGATTTTTTTGTCAATTCACATTGACCGGAAGCTCCTCTTGTCTCACTTATTAATAGTAGTAAAGTAAAGTAATATAGATATAGTTGAGTAACAGGTAGGGGTGTTCAAATAAAATCGAAAAATCGATCTGAACCGGTAAACCGAGTCAAACCGACTTAATAAATCGATAATCACTCGGTTTGGTTTGGTTTGGATTTAAATTTTAAAAAACCGATAATATTTGGTTTGGTTTGGTATTAAACCCCCCAAAAAAGGACCAAACCTAACCAAACCGGCAATATATATACCGAGGTTGCCATTATTGACGGCAAGAACTAAGAAGAACTTGAAATAGTATGGTTCCTTTGCTGAAAATTGCGACTAGCTTTGGCTTTCGTTGATATGATATTGACAATTTCTACTCATTCTATGTCTTTGAAATTTCATGAGCAGGTGCTCTTTTTAAAGTTTGATTTGCTCTCTTCTATTGCTATCCAAACTAACTAAAATTTGTGACTTTTTTCAGATGGAAACTGAAAATACTCCAAAAGAGGTGGAACCGGTAGAGGTAATTAACAAAGCCTCTCCAACTACATTGTTGAAATCTGAGCTTAATGCTAACAACACCCTTGATAATATTCTTAATCCTCCTAAGAAGCATAAAAGAACAACTCCTTGTGACCCTGATTGTAGACTTGTGAGTAGTGGCATGGAAACATTTGAAGTTTGGAAGCACTTTTCCAAATATCTTGATAAATGGGGTATGCCTAGGGCGAAATGCAACTACTGTTCTAAAAACTTTGCTTCTGAAAGTAAGAATGAAACTTCAACAAAATGGAAGCATTTAAATGAGGTTTGTCCTAAATACCCTTTTAGAATTATTGACATAAAGCAATCAACACTTAGGCCAATTAGAAAAGGAAAACAAACATATAGCACATGTACTTTAAAAAAGGTTGTGTTTAATGTTAATCAGATTAGGAGAGACATTGCAGAGTTTGTCATTATCGACGAACAACCTTTTAAAGTTGTTGAAGGAGAAGGTTTTAAGAGATTAATGGCAGATGCTTTGCCTAATTTTCAATTATCTTCTCGCCTGACTGTTGCTAGGCAATGTTTGAAAATATATCAAAAAGAGAAAGAAAAACTTAAAAAGCTTATTCAGAATCAACGTGTATGTCTTACTAGTGATATATGGAAATCACTTCAAAATTTAACTTATATGGTTATTACTGCTCATTGAATTGATGATGATTGAAATTTAAAAAAGAAAATTCTCAACTTTTTTCAAACATCGGAATATAAAGGTGAGACAATTGCTAAGGGGATTGAAGCATGTTTGTTAGACTGCGGGATTGAGAACATATTTATGGTGACCCTAGATAATGCAACTGCTAATGATGTTGCAACTATACACTTGAAAAGAAGGATTGAGGATTGGAAAGGAGGCATCTTAGGAAATGAGTTCTTACATGTTAGATGCAATGCCCATATTCTAAATTTAATCGTGAAAGAAGGGCTAACTGAACAGAATGAGTCCATTTCTCGAGTAAGAAATGTTGTCAAATATGTTAATGTCACGACCCAAATCGATGGGTCGCGACGGGCACCCAGTACCTTACTCAACCGAGTGCCAACGTAACGTATCTTTCTTATTACATCATCATAAGGTAAGTGGGCCAGAAGGGGTATCATGATATAAACAGAGTAGACATTAGGGAATTCCCGATATAGAATGACCCAACATGATATAGAAAAACATACTTGTGACATACGGGCCTATAAGGCCAATGTGATCCATTATATACTTAAAACATAGGCCAACAAGGCCATACAAGTATATGTATACATGACATCTGTCTACAAGCCTCTAAGATTACATAAATATCATAAAGGTCGGGATAGAGCCCCGCCATACCAATCAACACATGTCCTAATTATACTGACCAATAGCAACTTCGGAGCAAATGGAGCGCACCAACACCTTCCGCTAAGCTGATAGCCTACTTGGAGGACTCTCAACCTGTCTAACGGGACCTGCGGTCATGAAACGTAGCGTCCACAGGCAAATGGGACGTCGGTACAAATAATGTACCGAGTATGTAAGGAATGAAAATCAGTAAACAATATACATGAGAGAAACATGGAGTAAAAGACTCAACATGTAAGTCTGAATAACTTTGTGAATTATTAATATTTACAATGCCATGCATATGTGTATAAATGTCATACCATGCATAGGTATATGTATACATAACATCATCAAGCCTCTAAGGGCATCCCATCATATCATCTCGACCACTGTGGGCAAAATCATCAACGCATACCAGCTGATTAGGTGGTGCGTATATAATGTCGTAACCTTTTTCCATATCCCATATACATATAATATATGTGTATATAACTTCATCTAGTCATGGGTCAATATACATGTATAAATGAATGAAATGCATATGAAATACGTCAATAAAATCTCTCGGAACGTCATAAGACCATTATACCTTTGATTAATATCATAAAATAAACTTATCAACTTACGTATTTTCTGAGACCCATGAGCAGATGATAGAATAATAATACACATGCCCC